TAAACCTTGAACCTTCAACCCTAAACCCTAAACCTTAAACCCCTGAGCCCTAAACCTTAAACCTTAAACCCTAAACCCTAAACCCTAAATCCTAAACCCCTAAATCCTAAACCCTAAACCCTAAAACAACTAAACCCTAAACCCTGAACCCTAAACCGTGAACCCCCGAACACTTGGCACCGGGCAGGTGCTCGGATCGCTGAAGAGCGAGTTGCTGCGGAGCCGCTCGTGCATCTTCGTGATCTCCATCATGCCAGGTCTGGGATCAGAAGGATTTTCGGTTCAGGGTTTAGGGTTTCTGTTTTAGGTTTAGGGTTTAGGGTTTAGGGTTTAGGGTTTTGGTTTAGGGCTTCGGGTTAGAGGGCTCTGCCTTTAAAGGGTAGGGCGCCTTTAAGGTATAGGGTTCCTTTAAAGGGGGTGCGATAGAGGGCCCCTTTAAGGGGTAGGGTTGAGGGTCTTGATCTTCGTCAGGGGAAGCCTCAAGGATTCTAGAACTTCTCGCGCTTCTAGAGCTTAGGGTTTAGGGCTAAAGCCTAAACCCTATAAACCCTAAACCCGTCTTACGGTTGATGGACAAAATCCTGCATGACCTTATATACCTAAACTATGGGATTTATGGTACTATACTATATTTGGGTCATGCAGAATTTTGTCCATCAACAGTATCCCTCGGCTCACATCACCTTCAGTGATAGCCATCATGCCGGAGTGTTTGGGATATCCACTTTTCGGGGCATCCGAGTGGGCCATCTCGCCCTCCTCCCACACAACTCCGGGCGGCTTCTATGCTCGCACGATCCAGGACCATCCTCCAAGACCGGATGGCAATCCACTCGGTTTAGGGTTTAGGGTTTAGGATTTAGGGTTTAGGGTTTAGGGTCGTTCTCGACGTTGTAGCCAGGAGTAGGCCACCCAGGGTTTAAGGGTTCAGGGTTTAGGGCGCTAAGACCCTGGCCCCGGACCGAACCCACTACCGGAGCCCCAAAAGCCCCAAAGCCCGAATCCTTGAACACCGAAACCCCTCTTCTTTCGGGCTTTAAGTGAACAGAGAGGCTTGGGATATAGCATATATAATAGTGGTTTTGGGTTTAGGGTTTAGGGTTTAGGGTTTAGGGTTTAGGGTTTAGGGTTTAGGGAATAGAATAGTGTGTGTATATATGTAGATACATACAGTAGGTAGTATAAGTGAATTAAAGTAGATAGTGCGTAGTACATAGTCGATAGAACAGTACCATAAGGATTATGGGGTGTAGGGTTGCGTGTAGCATCGTGCGGTTCTGGCACAGTGTAGTATAGTATGGTACAGAAAAAGTCTAGCGCAGTGTTGTATAGCATAAAAACGGAAGGGGCAATGAAGGAACATATTTTTATGGGTAGTTCTCTAAATTAGGGTCCCCCTCGGGGTCCTTTTTATCTTTTTATAAGGGTGCCGTACTATATTACCTAAAAGGGACCCTAATTTAGAGAACTACCCATCCCCAAACCCTAAACCCTAAACCCTAAACCCTCAACCCTCAACCCTCAACCCTAAACCCTAAACCCTAAACCCTAAGCCCTAAACTCATCAGACCCCTGAGTTAAAAGCACCGGGAGCCGTACAGGAAGACCAGGATCGCTCCTTCGTGGCGCACCACACCGGAGAATTGGTTCGAGCCCTGGCACAAAGTTTGTGTTTAGGGTTTAGGGTTTAGGGTTTAGGGTTTAGGGTTTTGGGGTTCAGTGCTTAAGGGTTTAGGGTTTAGGGGGTTCTGCGATAGATCCTTTAGGAAGGTTTGTAAAGGTTGCTGTCTTCGAAGTTGCAAGGGTTGTGCTGTAAGGGTTCTACGGCTGATGATTTAAATCCTGCACTACCCATAATAAGGAAATATACCATAATTCCAAACAGTTTAGGGTCTTTATATTAAGGTAATGCAGGATCTATATCATCAACATTATGTGCAGTGTGGCGCACTGTACATTCGACGTCAGGATTCCGGAACCGGGGCTAGGAGTTTGAGGATTCCGGGGCGGGCAAAGTAGGTGTCAGAGTTTCGCAGGTGTAAAACGGTTCAAAGTAGGGGCCTTGATAATTAGGATAGGATTTTGGAGGTACGTTATATCATAACCATAATAAAAAAAACCCAAAATAGTATAGGAAATTCTTATAAGGCCCCTATTGTATCCGCCTGTGGTTCGAGTGTACTGTAAGGAAGGGATGCTGCTAGGCTTCCTGAATCGCGATGGTTCCGTGGTTTCGGATGCAAGGATAAGGCGGTTTAGCTCTGAGGTCATTTGTAAGCATTGGGGAGAAGGGAGGAACCTAGGAAACCCTAAACCCTAAACCCTCAACCCAAAAAGAAAACCCCAATCCAGACACTGGAACCCTGGCTCCATGCAGGGTTGGGCAGGGTTGGGTTTGGGTTTAGGGGTTTAAGGGTTAGGTTTGGGGGTTTAGGGTTTAGGGGTTTAGGGGTTTAGGGGTTTGGGATCTAGTGCTTCGGGTAGAGTTCGCCGCCCAAACAGGAGCCTAAACCCTAAGTAACCCTGAAAGCTCAAAGTCAAAACCTACAGTCTCCATTGTAGCTCCTTCTTTGGGTTAGGGTTTAGGGTGAACGGTTTAGGGTTTACCTATGGTTATTTTACAGGAACCTAAATCAAAAAAAAACGTAACAAAAAATCGGAACTACAACAATGGAGACTGCCGGCAGAGCCTCGATGTATTCCAGGAGGAGTTCAATGAGGTCATAGTTGATTCGAGAGTGGTCCTCGAATGGCATCAATTGTAATAACCAGTCCAACAGCACTAGTTGTGATACTTTCTAGGGTCGTGTGCGCTGAAATACTGACAAACCCTAAACCCCAAACCCTAAACCCTAAACCCCAAACCCTAAACCCTAAACCCTAAACCCTAAACCCTAAACCCTAAACCCTAAACCCCAAGCCCTAAACCCGAACCTATTCCGTTTATCAAGGCCCTTGAACGGTGAGTGGAGGGCCGGGGTTTGAGGCTTCCTCCACCCCCTTGGACCCTGCACCCAAAAGCCCCTGATATAGGGTTTAGGGTTTAGGGTTTAGGGTTTAGGGTTTAGGGTTTAGGGTTTAGTGATATAGGGGCCTTAATTCGAATAGGGTTTGGGGGCCCATTATACTATACCTGCAATAAAGGATTCCCAGAATACTGTTGGTGATATAAATCCTGCAGTACCTATGGACATGATGGTATATTCCTTACTCTAGGTAATGCAAGATCGATATCATCAACCGAACACTGTAAAGAACACACCAAACACCGACACGTTAACCCTGAAGCCCTGAACCTTATAGCAAGCCCCAAAGTAGACCCTCAAAGCCTTAAGCCGTAAACCTCAACCCTTCAGTGCTGCAGCTATATATTGAGAAACCCTGAGCACAACATTGTTACCTGTCACTCATTTTAGAGCCCAGTATTATGGGCTTCAGGTCGCATCATTGCTGCGGAACTTCTGGGTGGAGGGCCTGCCAGGCTGCTGACTCTCATATGACTGAGGCCCGCGGCCATGTAGGACAAAGCTCTCATTGTCTCAGCCTGACGAGCAGAGTGGTAGGCGTAAAGATTCATGTGGTCATAAGTTATCAGTGCATCCTAATTTAACGAGGGCTGCAATCTTTTCTGGCTAGACTGGCCTTACTTATCTCCTCTGCTTACAAGTACCCACGATCCACCAAGTAAGAAACCCTGCTGTCGGGTCCTCCTCCATACACACCGTGTCAAAAACAAGCTTCCTAGAATTGTGCTTTGGTTGAGCATCTGTACAGGCACGGCCTCATAGACGTCCGGATCACACATCTCGGCTTCATCGTCACAGCCTTGGCCACAAAACAACAACGGAATCTCAGGATTAAGGCTCGATGAACCGCAGCACCTTTACCATAGGCAAACATCCGACGACTTCTTCATTTGGGTCTTCTGGCTCGAACAGGGCTTGGATGGGCTCGGGGGCGCTTGATAGTACAATGGAGGAACTACAAGGGGAGATCCTGTCCCCAAACATTCAAGACCCCTGTAGTGGATTCGAACCCCGAGCCCTCATGGAGCTTCAGGAAACCCAGGCCTGGAGCAAGCTTCCTCCCGATCGTACGCCTCAGGACCGTCTGAATGAATTGACCGATGGGCGTTGTTGATGTGTTCCCAAGTTGATGTGTTGCAAAGAAACCGAACGATTTCCGGAGCTCACCATTTGATGATTTAAGGTTTAGGGTTTAGTGTTGTAAGTTATACTCACCATTTAAGGTTAAGGGCTTAGTGTTATACTAAACGAAGACAGATCAAACGACCTCGTTAATGGAGGGGCCTTAATAATTAGAATAGAGTTTTGGGGCCCATTATACGTACATTTACTTACAATAAGGAACCCCCAAAATAGAAAAGGTAAGTATTTAGGCCCCTACATTAGACTAAACGAAGACAGATCAAAGAACCTCATGACAGGAACCTTGGGGCCCTGCCCCACTCCTCCTCTTCGTCGATGTAGGCCGTGAGGGTCTGGGTCTTGCCTTTATCACCGGATACCTGCAACGGGGAGAATGATTGGGTCTACGGACCCTTAACCCTAAATCCTAAACCTTAAGCCTCAAGCCCTAAACCCTAAGCCCTAAACCCTAAACGGTAGGGCCCTAAACCCTAAACCCCCAAACCCAAAGCCCCAAAGCCCCAAACCGGTAGTAGCCTGTCCCATCCGACACGGCCACAAGATGAGCCACAGGGATCCTTCGGCCCCGGTACTGTAGGGGCCTTTATAATCAGAATAGGGTTTTGGGGTATGTTATACAATAAGTAAATTAAGAAGCCCTCAAAGTAGTGTAGGTAATTATGTAGGCTTCTATATTTTTATATTATATGCGATTGTTGATCACAGGTTGGCACTCAGCTAAAGATTCCAAAAAGCTTACAGTAGAAGCCAGAAAGTTGGAAAATCGATATCCTCATGCCCCGGGATCCTAGCACTAAACCTATGTTCCAACTTTCCGGGATTCGCTGTAAACCCTAAACTCCGAACCCTGAACCCCTAAACCCTTACCCCTAAACCCCTTAACTATTCACTTGCGCTGTCCCATCGTCGGCTCGCCAAACACAGATTTTGATGTTGGCACCAGGTCTACTTATCCACGGCTTACAGTTTTCTGTTGTCAAGGCTCAGGCAGCGGTTCAGAATGGAAACCAAATCGTAAACAAGACGTTTAGGGTCCCTCTTGGGGTCCTTTTTACTAAGAGTGCCGTACGATGTTGGGGACCCCCAAAAAAACGACCCTAATTTAGAGAAGTGCCTATGTGCGGGCTAGAGACTATCTAGAATCTAGAATCAAAGCGCGGTCGCACGCATGGAAATGGGCACAGAGCAACAAGCCGGCCATACATGGATTCGAGTTTAGGGCTCTGAGGCCTAGGTTTCCTTAGACCGAAATGCCTAAAACCGACACATGAAAGCCCTAAACAGACTTGTGTACTCTAGACGCTTCAACAAGTACACGCATGTTCCACTTCTAGTCTCTTTATAGACATTCATGGTCATATTACAATACACTACACCCCGAGATCCTAAATTCCGACCTTGAACTGCCATAACCTACTTTTTTGGTAGGTCCTTATTATAAACCCTAAATAGAATTTATAGGGACCCTACACAAAAGCAGGTTTTGGTAGTTTGAGGGATAGATTAAGGTCTCAGATATTGCAGGACCATCTTGAACCCTTCTAGATTCCTCAAGGGATCCCCTCAAAGGAACCCAGTTCTAGATAATCAGTATCATGTACTACATATGATGTACTGTAATATACTATAAAGATACAACATAATGTACTATAATGTACTACAAGGTATTATGATGTACTATAACATGATGCACTATAATGTACTACAAAGTATTATAATGTACTATAACATGATGTACTATAATGGACTACAAGGTATTATAAGGTACCATAACATAATGCACTATAATGTACTACAAGGTATTATAATGTACTATAACATGATGTACTTTACTGGACTACAGGGTATTATAATGTACTATAACATGTTCTATAACATAATGTACCATAATGTAATATAATGTACTATGCCGTATTGCAGTGTACATTTTAGCACGGCCGGGCCTGGAAGGTTTTCTTCTCAGTGTTCCAGCCTCGATTCCAACCTCAGTTGTGTCGTGACAATCTTTGTATCAACGATGTACCCCGAAACCCTAAACTTAAAAGCCTAAAGCCTAAACCCAAAACTTAAAGCCCTAAGCCCAAAACCCCAAACTTAAAACCCTAAACCCTGAACACAAAACCCTGAACTTAAAACCCTCAACCCAAAACCCTAAACTCAAAACCTTAAACCCTAAACCCTAAACTTAAAACCCTACCAGTAAGCCCTGTGGGGCTTTTGGACTTGAGGACTTTCTCGTGCTTCAGCTGCGGATTGGAATATTCTTTAGGCCTTAGAAGATTAGCATAGGGCTTTGGGGGGTTTCTTTAAAGGGTTCCATAAAGGGTTCTATAAGGGCTACTATAAGATTGGGATATTTTTGGGTTTATGCAGTTGGTGGGGTTCGGAATAATTCGGGTCTAGGATTCAGGGTTCAGGGTCGAGAGTTCAAGGTTTAGGGTTTAGGGTTCACCCAAACCTTAATAACCCAAAACGCAACCCTCCTGAACAATAATATGGGGACCTTGACAATTGAAGAGGGCTGGCTTGCTGTAGTATACTATTCAAAAACAAAAGAACCTTAAGACTAGTAATTTCTGTGTTTCCTCAACTCCCTTAAAAACGCCGATGCAGCCGTACGAAGTAGATCCCTCAAAAGCAGGAAGATGCGATAAAACCACCTTTAAAACCAAAACCCCCCGAGGAGTCTATGTGGGTAGTTCTCTAAATTAGGGTCCCTTTTTAGAACCCCAATATAGTACAGCACCCTTATAAAAAGGACCCTAAAAGGGACCCTAATTTAGAAAACTGCCCATGTGTGATGTCTGCCGGGCCGCTCTTCTTGGCGAACTCGCTTTCCTCTTCGCAGCGATAGCCTGGGAGGCAAGGCTGCCCCTAGGGGTTTCCGCAGGGTTTAGGGTTTAGGGTTTAGGGTTTAGGGTCTAGGGTTTAGAGTTGTAGGGTTTAGGTTTTTGGGTTTAGAGTTTTAGGGCTTAAAGTTTAGGGTCAAGGGTTTCTGCAGGGTTCAGGGGTTTAGGGTTTAGGGTCGAGCGTTTAGGATTCTACCCTTACCTAGGAAGGCTCGAAGGAACTCATGTTGTGAGGCTTCTGAGCCGAAACCCGAAACCCTAAACCCTAAACCCTCAACCCTAAACCCTAAACCCTCAACCCTCAACCCTAAAGCCCATGTTTAGTATGTGCGGCTTTGTTCTTGCTGAATCGAGCCTAGGGTTAAGGTTGTGGATGTCAGGCTCTGGGTTTGAAAGGGCTTTGGGCTATAGCTCTGACACTTTGGGGGTTTAGGGATTTAGGGTTCTACATTCTGGGGTTTAGGGTTTAGGGTTCTGCATTTTGGGGTGCAGGGTTTAGGGTTCTACATTTTGGCGTTTAGGGTTTGTTAAAGGGCTTTGGGCTATAGGTCTTGCATTTTGGAGTTAAGGGTTTATTGTTTTAGTTTTGGGAGGTTTCAGGGTCAAACGGCGGTTTAGGGTTTTGGGTTTGGAAACCCTAAACCCTAAACTCCAAACCGAAACCCGAAACTCTAAACCCCAAACCGAACGCTAAACCCCACAATATACACCGTTAGAATGGGGTTGGGGATATTGGGTCTGGGCTTTAATGATTTAAGGACTGAGGCTGAGGCTTGAGGGTTTAGGGTTTCGGGTTTAGTTTAGGGTTTGGGGTTTGGGGTTTAGGGTTTAGTTGAGGGTTGAGGAGTTGAGGGTTTAGAGTTTGAGGTTTCGGGTTTAGGGTTTCGAAGTTGGCGTTTAGGACTTCAGCTGCGAGCTGCCCGCAGCCCGAAGCTTAACATAGGGGCCTTCTTAACTAAGTACCTAGAATAGGGTTTTGGGGTAAGGGTAATTTTTACTATAACTAGCATAACTTGACTAGAAAAGGGTTGTGGGGTAAACTATACTACAGCTATCATAAGGAACCCCCCATCTTCTAGGCCGCTATATGATGTTCGTCTGGCAGCGCAAGCAGCTGAAACCGAACGGGCCACACGGAGCTCACTTCGGTAACACATACCCTAAGGGTCCATGTACCTAAATAGTGTATACTTTCGCCTTGAAGTAGTCCCTATTTGGGCACTTTGGAGGCCAAAATATCTACTATTTAGGTACGTGGACCCTTAGGGATACCTGGCTGCACAGAGCCGGGACGTGCCACGCCTGCCTGAAACGATTCAACGCTCCTGCCCTGCTTTTCCGAAGACGAGCGCCTCCGAACCCGATACAGAAGGGTTTAGGGATTAGGGTTTGGGGTTTAGGGTTTGGGGTTTAGGGTTTGGGGTTTAGGGTTTAGGCTTTGGTCAGGACTACTCGGCATCAGAGGCGTTTGCAAGACGAACGAACTCCTAAACCCGAAGCATTTGAAGACCTGAAATCCCAAAACCGTATGTAAACCCTTAGCCCTACAGTTCAAGGCCGTTTACAATACTTGCCTGCCTAAGCCCTAAACACAGGGCTGAATCAACATGCGAGCTTGAGGCAACACGGACCGAAATAGCAGCCGAAGTGGTAGGACATGGTAGGGTCCTTGTCAAAGATCAAATAATTAAGTCCAAATCCTAAAGCAAGACCAAAGCTTAAACACCGTAATTCTCGGAACACATCAGCCCTGCAGCGTGCCCGCCCAAATATTCTCTATGTTACATCCTAAAGCCCTGAAGCACGAAACAATTCGGCTCCCCTAAACCCTAAACCCTAAACCCCTAAACCCTAAACCTTAAACCCCTAAACCCTAAACCCTAAACCCTGAACCCAACCCCTAAACCCTAAACCCAAACCCTAAACCCTACACCCTAAAACCCCAGACCCCAGATCCCCACATCATAAACCTTCAGGGCCGCCTGTCATCTGCACCACATCTTCGAGCCAGAACTGCTGAACCTGAGGGGGCCCAAAGACGCACTTTATTGTCAAGGGTTTTCGGGTTCAGGGTTTAGGGTTCAGGGTTTAGACGCACTTTATTGTCAAGGGTTTTCGGGTTGAGTTTTTGTGCAGCATGTGATGTTTTTGTTTGTTTTGTATGTTTTTTGTGGTTCAATCTGGGCATTGTCGGGCGTTGCAGGTTGTTTCCAGGTCGTTTAGGGTTTGAGGGTTTAGGAGTTTAGGATTTAGGTTTTGAGGGTTTAGGGCTTGAGGGCTTGGGTTCAGGATTTGAGGGTTTGGGTTTAGGGTTTGCAGGGGTTTAGGGTTTAGGGGCGTCGGGTTTAGGGGTCCATGTCCAGGTCATCCATGGGATGCAGCAATCAGAATGTCCTTGACGCGACGTCTTCCTGGAGCCTGCAAGCTGCTTCAACACCGAACGAAGGAGATCCATGGATGCTAAGAATTTCTACCCATAGGCCGTAAAGTAGTTCCGTTTGGGGTTACCTTATGGGATTCTGTATATATGAACCCCAAAAAGGAACTACTTTAGGGCCTATGGGTACCCACTAACCGTCATGCTTCAGGATATAAACCCAACCCGTAGCAAGAATCTTGAACATGGGCTTTTGCCTTTGCTTTGCGATAAGGGTTATCTGCGCAGGACTGCGCACAGAACACGATTCGAGGCGCCCTAAATTCCCTAAATTAATCAGCCCCCTATACTTAGTTTCTAATCTCATAAGCCAGCCATTGAACTACTAAGTGCATCGTCATACTAGATCACCATGAAAGCCCCTGGATGCCCTCACCGATATTATTCTAAGGGTCCCCTATTTTCGGAAACCCTTACATCAGAGGAGACTGTTCTAAGTCGTCAGAACTAGAAACCGAATAACCTTTTCTCTTGCCCTAAAGCCTACACCTCAAACCCGAAGCCCTAAACCCCTGAACACCCAGACCCTCAACCCTAAGACCCTCCCCTAAACCCTAAACCCTAAACCCTGAAGCCCTAAACCCCCTAGACCCCTAAACACCTAAACCCTAATCCCTAAGACCCTAAGACCCCAAGCCCTACACCTCAAACCCTAAACCCTGCAACCCTAAGACCCCAAGACCCTAAGACCCTAAACCCTAAACCCTAAACCCTAAACTCCCTAAACCTGAACCCCCTGAAACCCCTAAACCCTAAACCCCCTAAACCCTAAACCCCCTAAACCCTAAACCCCCTAAACCCTAAACCCTAAACCCCCTAAACGCGAAGCCCCAGGTCTGAGGTCTTCGCCGGAAAGGTTCGGCCAGGGATGGAGAGGACCGGGACGGAGCTTGGGCCTCGCTTTAAAAGGGTTTAGGGTTTAGGGTTTCGGGTTTAAGGGTTTAGGGTTTTAGGGTTTTTGGGTTTTAGGGTTTAGGGTCTTAGGGTTTAGGGTTTAGATTTCTGCGGGTTTTAAGGGGTTTGGGATTTGGGGTTTAGAACCATAAACAGGACGTCTTGCTGCGCCAACCCGGGGAAAACTTGGGGGTCCTTCTCCCGGACATAGGGAGGCGACTGCAGCCCCATGGGGACTGAAGGACAGCAGTATTGCTTTGGAGCAGCGCTCTCCAGCATCGTAGCTCCGCTCCGTCTGGCCGAGTTTGCGGAGGAGGCCCTCACGATGGAGCGAGTCGAATGCCTTAGCGACATCCAGTTTCACCAGACACAACCCTGCTCTCCACTCCCTGTCCAGCTCCAGGACCCGCCACACCGAGAACAGGTAGTCGGCAGCTTGGCGCCCCGGGCCCGCACACTGAGCATGTGTACGGAGGGCGATGGCATCCAAAGTCCGGTTGAGAAGAAGTCGAGAGAACAACTTTGACACCGCACTGCCCATGGAAATGGGCCTTGGGAGATTTAGGCGTCTTGGGGGCTTGGGGTTTAGAGGTTGTTTTTGTTTTTTTAGGGGCCTTTTCTGTCGCTGTAGGGTTCAAGGCTTAGGGGATAGCGCCTCGCTGTGACTGAATGGGTCCAAGGTTTTGCTTGCTAGGTCTATCGGTGTTTTGTGCGTTAGGGCTTCGGATTCTAGGGTGGAACGCATCTACAGGAATTGTAACAGTACAGTTTTAATGGTATGTAGAAGCCAGACAGTTGGAACATGATTATCTTCGTGCCCTTGAGGTAAAGTATACGGGATCCTAGCACGAATCCGCCTAAACCCCCAACCTAAACCCTAAACCCTAAACCCTAAAACCCGAAACCCTGAACCCTAAACCCGAAACCCCTAAACCCTAAACCCTAAACCCTAAACCCCCCTATACCCTAAACATTAACAGTACGGTGTTAGAGGGTGCAAAGGGCAGCTAGAGGATCAAACTGCGTTGGCTCGTCTCGAACGATTTGGGTAGTTCTCTAAATTAGGGTCCCCATTTAGGTTCCCCAAACGAGTACGGCACCCTTCTAAAACGGATCCTAAAGGGGACCCTAATTTAGAGAACTACCCATGTGCAGGGCTTATCATGTCGAAAAACGTTGTGCTAGGATTCGCAGGGCGGTTTTTTGCTTTAGGAAGAATTGCAGTGTCTGCTTCACCAGAGATTCCATCCATCCTGCATGTGGCCTTGAGGTAGTTCCCTCCTAAACCCTAAACCCTAAACCTTAAACCCTAAACCCTAAGCCCTAAACCCTAAACCCTAAACCCTAAACCCTAAACCCTAAACCCCTAAACCCTCCCTCACCCTCCCATCCTAAACCCCGA